TTTTCTTTACTCCCCTGCCCCCCCCCCAAATAATAGGCACATTTACTGAGGAGGAAAAGAATAGCTGTTGCCATTTGATTGGTTGTACTAGGAATTAATTCCCTGTACACAAACCTAAATTTACTAACTCTGGATCTTATAATTCAAAAGATTCTTTCCGATGGATTCTAACAAGAATTAACATGGAAAAAAAGTGAATATACTTTCAACAACTATTAACTTACTGATAGATTTCTACATCTTAACCAATTCAGTTTAAGTTATAGCTCTCTTCTTAGGGTTGTTTGCCTTGAGAGCCCTTCAGATAGGAGTCTCTCTGCCCAGTGAGATAGCAGCACATAGCTGACCTTGGGTGACCTCAAAAAGCTAAGCAGAATCACACCTAGTTAGTACTTGGGTGGGGGACCAGCAGGAAATAGCAGGGCTGTAGGCTACAGAGGAAAGTCAGAAAAACATCCCAGAAGAAAGCAACCGCAAACCAGTTCTATACTCTTTGCCAAGAAAATGGATGACACGGACATGTTACCAGGAGTCAAACTTGACTCCAAGGACACTCAGACAAACTTCGGTTGCTGAACAGATGATGATAATGGTTATTAATAAGAGGAATAAGAAAGGGCTAAAGCTTGCCCCTTCTCCAGAACTATTTTCCTAATCAGATATGTCTGTATCCCTCAACCTTTGTAATTAACCTTCTAGCAAATTATTTTTGGAAGAATTTGACTTGGGAGTTACCGTGTTCACCACATACAAAATACAGTGGTACCTCTAGTTATGAACTTAATCAGTTCCGCGACTCTGATCGCAAGTCAAGTTGGTCACAAGTCGAGGTAAATTTTCCCATAAGGTTCAGTGTAAATACGGTTAATCCGTTCTGCCCTCCGAATTTGGTCGCAAGTCGAGGTAAATTTTCCCATAAGGTTCAGTGTAAATACGGTTAATCCGTTCCGCCCTCCGAATTTGGTCGCAAGTCGAGGTAAATTTCCCCCATAAGGTTCAATGTAAATACATACGGTTAAACAGTTCTGAAACATGCATT